AGGCAGGATGGAGTGATGGAGAAAAGATTCAGGAGTGATTTGTGACAACAGGGTGTCAGCAAAGGTCAAAGGAAAAGTTTACAAGACAGTGGTGAGACCAGCTATGTTGTATGGTCTGGAGACAGAGACATGGACAAAAAGACAGGAGACAGAACTGGAAGTGTCAGAAATGAAGATGTTGAGGTTCTCCTTAGAAGAGACAAGGATGGAGAAGATCAGGAATGAGATCATCAGAGGTACAGCACAGGTTGAACAACTGGGAGATAAAGTTAGAGAGGACACACTGAGATGGTTTGGACATGTCCAGAGGAGGGACAGTGGTTTGGACATGTCCAGAGGAGGGACAGTGGTTTGGACATGAATTTAAAGAGCGCTCAGACTGTTGAGACTTTTAAATCTTTGCTCAAGACTCATCTGGGTTTCTTGGCATTTGATCCACGCAGAGTCTGAGACCAAGTTGAGCTGATTTTATTGTTGTTGTGTATTTACTGTTAACTTGCTCATGTTTTTGAGTGGCACTAGATGCATTTTTTACTCTTTCTATCCGTCTTAACTGTTCAGCTGTTGTTGTTTTTATGTGCTATAGAAATAAATTGACATTGGGCTCACACAGACTCATGTTCGTGCTGCTGCTCGACGTGTTGTTTTTGTACTATTTAGTTGATGTTTTTCTTAAATCATATCTTAGATCTTATTACTGTTTTTCTTTTACATTTTATACTTTTGTTGGATGTAACTGGGACCCTGTGTACATAATTTTGTTCCACCACATGTACCACATGGGGTGCGAATGACAAATAAAGAAACTTGAATCCTTGAAAATTACTGATTTCACCGCTTTTTAATTATTTATTTATTTATTTTTAATAAACGGTCACAAAAGACAGTTCTAATAATTTTGTTCTAGGAGCCGTTCATGGACCCTCAGCACGTTTTAAGGGTGGCACTGTACAACACATCTTTGCTCAACACCAAAGCAACAACTCTTACAGTCTGGATGGATTTCAAGAAAACTCAAAGTATTATTTTTCATCTAGAACTTATTGTGTGAATGCTTAAATAAAATTCACAATATTCTGATCCATTTTTCTTCCGTACGTTTTTCAGCTCGATTCTCGTCCGGCAGTTTTCAGCTGTTTCAACAAATCGTAAATCAAAACATTCAGCTCTTCCAGGACAATCCTGCTATGAGTTTTGGTTTTGGTTCAACTTTACCTTTTTGAAATATTTAGCCTTTTCTGACATTTTGTTCTCATAGAAAATGAATTGAGCTCATTTTCCATCCGTCAAATCTTCAGATGTGTTTCAACCTTTTACTGTTCCTTTCACATTTTGTTCTGCTGCAGCTGCTTTCAGCTTCCTGCTGCAAAGTTAAACTTTTTTCAGCTACTTTCAGTTAATTTTAGCTGTTTTGTGCTCCTTTCAGCTTCTTTCTGATAACTACAACGTTTTTGTGCTTCTGCTAATTCCAGCTCGTTATGCTCCTTTCAGCTACATTTCAATGTATTTATTTATATATCACGTAAAAACCAAAGCTGACCAAAGTGCTTTACAGTTTAATCAAATTAAAATGGAAGCAATAAGAAGAAAAACAAATACATCTTGTGCCACTCAGAAAAAAACAGAGAGTTAACAATGAAATAAAACACACAGCAACAATAAAAGTCATGTGTAACTAGTTGTCACTCTGCATGGATCACACACCAAGGATAAAAGATGAGATTTGAGTCTCAACAATCTGCTGTCTTTAATTTCAGCATGTTTTTAGCTAATAGACCTTTTTCACGACAACCTGAAGCAGCGTCTCGTGGTGCCGGGTCACTTCCTGTTATTGTGAGTCTATGCAAGTGTCGGCCTTTTCTTTCGCTGATGTGGAGGAAATCGCAGCGGTGAATTCTCGAACCAATAAACTTGAGAAAGGATAAAAGTTCTTCCATGAAGAAAATATCAACAGCTATCAAGGTAAGAAAAGACGTAGCTTAGCGAGCTAACCGTTAGCTGCAACATATGAAGTACATAAACATCGTAATAAGCCTAATTTAGTGCTAAATGATTTGGAGTATTTGAGACAGACGTGGTATAAACTTTTAACTGATATTTTAACTTTCTGATATGTGTTTGTTATTACAGTTTGTGAAAGAAAACGTACTAGATGTTAGATGCTATGATGCTTGATGTTCAAATTGTGCTTTATTTCTTCACAACTACAGGTCAGATATTGTCGAGGGACAGGTAGTTGTCAGAGCTAGATGCTTTATTTCTGACAGCTGAAGAACTTTGTCGTACGTTGGACAACTTCTGTACCGAGAGCTCACAGTAACATCTTCCTGCTCACTGGTTAGTTTGTGGTAGCAGCAAAGTCTGTTTTGTTCTGCTGATGTTTCAGATCATCTTCAAACTACAATCTATTACTTGTTTAAAGCTAAATATGTTATAACAGGTATTATATATTTTAGATCTCACTGGGTGACAGCAGGAGAAAAACTACGTCAGCTGGAGTCCCAACCACTTATCGCTCGTCCTAGATGGTCTCTAAACGTTGGAGCTGGTACCATCCAGATGTGCTCCTGTGCCACAGGGCTCACAGATGTCTTACCAGTGCCCACCTGAGAAGTCCTGCTAGCTTCATTCTGGACCACATGGCTCCACACTTCCTGCTCTTCCTCTGAAGCTGCAGTCTTCTCAACATGTTTTGTGTCCACACTTCACATCTTCAGTCTCTGCAAGTGTCACTGGAAACATCTTATGAAACAAAGACCAGAACCAGGGAGCAGTCCAGATGTTCTGCAGGGGTGCAGCTTCTACAACCAAGGCTTACAGCTGTTTCCATGTTGCAGAAGAAGTGTGGAGGAGGAGTCTGCTGACATGTTTTACTTCAACATCTTCATCCTTGTGTTTATATCAATGCAGTAAGAATCATAAAATGTACAAATCACACTTTTGTTCCTTCTTATTTTTAATATTCAGTCTCATGCTGTGAATCACTGTAAATACTGTAAACAGTTGTTACTCATGAAAAATACATAAATGTACCAATTTCTTTAAAATAGCATAATTTTGGGAAAAATATCTATAATCCACTATCAGTTTATAGTGTACAGTTAAAATGTAAAATAGTTCAGTTTTTTTTGTTTTTTTTTTACTAGATATTGTAAATTACACTTGTTTTCCTTTCAATACAACTGAATCAATCCATAAATTAAATAAAAACAGTACAGTATGCTGTGAAAGTGTGTTTTAATTTTAGAATGTTTAAAATAATTCAAAAGCTTTAAATAACTAATTCCATAACACTAGAACAATATGTAAAAGCTTGGGTATGGATGTTATTTTTATTTTATAAACTTACTGCAACACGACCTTAGGACTTTCATCCAAGGACAAAATTTATAGAGAAAAGACACTTGGGTTTGTCTACAAGTAAGCAGGAGACTGTTCCAAGATACAATACACATTTTATTAACACTACGTTAAAAACCTATTCTAATGGAGGCGATAATGATTCTTAAATATTGAGCCGAGGCCGAGGCTTTCCAGTGTTCAGTCAACTAAAAGACACAAGGATGGTTGAAGGTAACACACGAGCAGAAATTCACCCACAAGCTGCGATGCACGAGACACGAGTGGAACAGAACCTACACGAGACTGGACTGCACCTTCAACCTGGAACATAAATATGAAATTAAGTAAACAAAAATAAATATGAATAATATTTAAGAATTACAAACAAACATGGGCCTCACATTCACATATAAAAATTGTTTAAATTGGCCCCAGCCTTTAGTTCAGCCAATCTTCTCTCAGGTAAGACACTGACTAATTATGGTGACTCAAGGAGGCTGTGAGAGTCCACCAACCCAGGACTGAGCAGAATGAGGACAGCTGGGAGTGCACCAGAAGAGAAAGAAACAGCTCAACCTTTAAAGCAGCTGGAGGTGGATCCGTGGACAAAACCCTCCTGAGTGAAATGCAGGCTGCAAGTGCTCCCTGGCTTTATGCAGAAGTCAGGACCATCATCTCTTCTGATCACTTGGATCCACTGCCTCCTTTGGTCTGGGTACGTCGTGAAAAGCATGCAGGACAGATATGGTTGTTTTCTTGTCCCACAAGAACAACCAGGAACTGAAGAAAAGAAACTGTGCCGAGACTGAGCCATTTTCCTCACAGTCTAATGCTAACGCTACAACCACCGGAAGCTGTTTAACACCACATCCGCTTTAAAACTGGGAAGCGTGAAAAAGGTCTATTTCATCTGTTTTTCATCAAGTTGAGTCTTTGATTCAAAATGGCTCCCATGACAACTGAATTTTATGTTACACAAAAATGGGTATACCTCAGTGAATTTTACAGGTGTTAAACTGTTGTGTCCCAGGCACTGACAACACACAATGCTAATGTTTGACCAAACCACTAAAACTTGTTCTTTCTCATTCAAAGATTTCCTTCGTTTAAAACTGTCATGGAGGTTTTGGGCCATATGTACCGTATTCTTTCAAGTAATACTTTTGATGGGTTGTTTAGTGACAATTTATTTGGGAAGTGTATCAAAAAGAATCTTTATTTTTTTGGGTTTTGTGTACTTTCTGAACAATGAGGAAACTTTTTTGTTGGCAGCATTATTGGTGCAAGCAAGAGTTACACAGCTTTTGTAAATAGTAAATGGACTGTAGCTCCTTTCTATCTTATCAAGATATAAAAGCACTTTACAACACAATCTGCTTCAATTTATCCATTCATACAGCACTCTACTACATATGTACAAAGACTAATTAGAGCTTTAGATCACATTCATACACCGATGGGACACACATAGGCAATGAGGGGTTCAGTGTCTTACCCAGGGACACTTCAGCGTGTGGAATTTGATGGAATCAAACCTCCAACTCTTGCATTGGAGGACAACTGCTCTAACCGCTTCTTTTATCACAATTCTGTGGAATCATCTTGCTTTTTGAAAAGTGTGAAAATGTACAGTTTAATTTGTCCTGTGATGTAAATAGATGATGGACAAACTGCGAGACCGTTGGGTCAACACTGGTCTGTGGGAAAAGCTGGAACAACAGAAAACTGTCATCACAGAGCCTCATGGGAGTGGCAAAGGAGATTTTAATGAGCTGCTTCAGATATACTACGACACTATTAAACACTGCGAAGGGACAGGTGAGAATGCATCAAACTGATTTTGAACTACTGTTGCTGTAACATAGCTTGATTAGTGAGTTTACTTTTAATTTAGTGCATCACAGCTTTAAGAATACTTTATAGCACATCTCTTATCTAGACAAAATGATACTACAATAATTTGTATTTTTAAAATTTGTACTGGATATTGCTTATCATTTCCTACATCCCCATGTTTGCTGTGTTCTAGGTGGTGCACTGCTTATTGCTGTGTGCAGGGGTAAGGTCAGCGAAGGCCTGGACTTTACAGATGACAATGCCAGAGCAGTGGTCACTATTGGAATTCCATTTCCAAACATCAAAGACCTCCAGGTAGGTGGAGTAAAAAAAAAAAAACTAGCATAATTGCCGGTCTATAGAGCGCACCCAAACCAGCCACTAGGGAGCACAAGCCAGTGAACATGAAGTAGGAAAGATCAGTGAGGGTGAAGTCCAGATAGCTCTGAAAAGAATGAAGAAGTGGAAGGCAGTAGGACCTGATGACATACAGCGGAGGTTTAGAAATATCTTGGAGAGATGGCAGTGAGGTTTTTACTCAAATATTCAATGGTATATATGAGGGTGAGAAAATGCCTCAGGAATGGAGAAGAAGTGTGCTGGTGCCTATTTTTAAGAACAAGGGTGACGCACAGAGTTGTAGCAACTACAGAGGAATTAAACACCCTGCAGATGTTAGATGATGTCTATCATGGTGCACTAAGATTCATAACTGGCTGTAACTATTATACCCATCACTGCACACTGTATTAACTAGTTAACTGGTCATCATTAACTTCACGCAAACTCTTCCACTGGTATCCTGATGCATGCTCAATAATCCAGGTAGAAAAATCTAAAAAAGTTCAATCTGGTCCTCTGGACATTCAAAAAACAAAACAAAACAAAAATGTAGAAACGTTTCGTCTCTCATCCTGAGGACTTCCTCAGTCTGAGGTGCTGTATTCAGCTCAGTCTTATAAATAGCACCTTCTCAGAGTGGATCAACCAGTTTGCTGCTGACAACCAAAACCAGCTGATCACATGATCAAGAAGGACCATCAGCCTAACAATGGATCATTAGCACCTGATGGCTGTTTACTGTTCACAGAGGGCTGAGTGATACTAGCAATCACAGCATTGTAAGAGGGGGACAGTTGAACCTGGAGGCTCCGCCCCTGTTTAATGATGGACGGTTTCTTTTCACAAAGATGGCCTCCTTTACTCCTCTCTCAAACCATCGTTCCTCTCTGTCCAGGATGTGAACGTCTTCATCCCTGAAAGAGTGACCGCTGGCCTGGAGATGAGTGTAGACCGCAGAGTCCTGGCCTGATGATGTTGATCTTCTGTGCTGGGCCATCCTTTTGGCCAGTGGCTGTTTAGTTTCCCCGATGTAAGACTGATCACCCTCCTGACACTGAACAGCATACACAACATTACTCTGTTTGTGCCACGGGACTGAATCTTTGGGATGAACCAGTCTTTAATGTATTTTTGGGGTTTAAAAGCCACTGGGACGTTATGTTTAGAAAATAAACGTCTCAGTTTCTCTGATACTCCCTCAACATCTGGAATGACCACTGGTCTGGGTCTGGGTTCCTCCTTTTCACCTGATGCTGACTGGAGTCCTGTTTGGGTTTCTTCTTTCAGGAAGGCCCAGTTAGGATATCCACATTGCTCTAGAGCCTGTCTTGTGTAGGATTTCTCCTTCTGCCTGGCTCCTGAGCTAGTGGGGATGCTGTCTGCTCTGTGGTACAGAGTCCTGATGACTCCTAACTTGTGCTCCAAAGGGTGATGGGAGTCGAACTGCAAATACTGGTCTGTGTGTGTGGGTTTGTGGTACACCTCAGTTTGCAAATGTCCTCTATCAGAGAC